CTGCCTCTTGTGCTCCTCTGCCACAGAGAGGCATGCAGCAAATTGCACTTTCCCCTGGGGGAACAGCCAGCAATGTTCTGGTATGAGTTGGGGTGCAGGGAAAGTTCAGTCCCTCCCACCCTCCACAAAGGGTGGGAGGCTCACACACTGGGCAGTCCTAGAGGAGGGGTACCCCCAACCAGCCCCTTTGACCTGATTCTTTCTTTCTGTATGGTTTCATGAAAAGCCAGCCTTTTCTGGGCACATCTCACTTTCCTAGCACAATCAAACCCTTACCTTGCTTTAAGTTATGATAAGAAGCTGAACGCTAAATTTGGTGGTATTAGCTCTTACCACTCAGGAGTTCTTGGACAGACAGACTCACTCATGCACTCTCAAATATATATATATATATAGATCATGATACTTGTGTCTTTCAGATTAAATAAAAATCACTGAGAAATGGGCCCATCAGACTTATAATAAAAACACATAGCTACTAATGTAAAATGCAATACTGGCACAGCATAATAATCCTGTTCCATGTAAATGAGGTGGTGACAGGCATTTCTTTCAAAGCAGGAGACATTAATCCACCATGTTCACAGCAGTGAATTTTGTCAGACAGTTTCCCTCTCCTATGTGCCAGCTGACTTCTGCAGCTTCAAATCTCTTCTCAGAAATCACATTTTGGTTTTGTTTCCATGGTTTCTCTTAGCTATGACACTTACCCATTATTAAAAAAAAAGGTGAAACAGTATGAAATAGTTTATGGAATCTGTTTTCTATGTAAATGCATCACTAACCCAACAGATGTATTTCCCTTCTCATTGTTCAGTGTTTCTCCTCCACTTTGTCCCTATGCTTGTACTAAGCATGCTTACTGCTATCATTTGTTCATTATCTACTTTACCTTGCAACAGTTTCAGGGCACAGAACCTTTTCTTATACTATTGCAAATAATTTATACAATACTTTACAAAACTAGATAATCTACCACAAAGAGCCAACCATGTAAATGAGCTCAAGAGGAAATAAGCTGGATTCTTAAATGAGATGTGTGGGAGCAGATAAAGATAAGGAAAGCCCTCCAAGGGGAGGGGAATGGCTGATAAAAGGCACCCAGCTGAGAATGGAGAAAAGAGCAAAAAGGCGAAGTGACAAGAAATTGTAATATGACAATGTAAAAGAAAACCAACAGAGGAATTCAAAAAGAAAAGTGACATGGTTGGAGTGGGAAGCAGAAGTCTATGTTGAGTGCAGCATTTTGGACCAACTGAAAAGCAGATGGATATAAAAAGCTGGAAGCCGAGAGACTAGGTTACAGTGATCAAAGATGATGTGCAGTGTTTGGACAAAGTATTTTAGTGGACAAACGGTAGATTAAACAGAAAGTAACAACTTTGTAAAATATTAGCTACATGATTCAAAGAGTCACATAATATGGTGGCTAGAATGGTGTTCTCTATGGAAAGGAAGAACATTTAAGAATAAAAGAGAGACCAAGTGGTCAGAGAGGCAACTAGAAAAACTGGGGAGTCAGGGACATGTCAAGAAAGTTATTTGGGAAATCAGCTGCATAAGAGTCTGTGTCTTACTTTTGTTTGCATTCACACAAAAGGCATTGTAATGGTACCCTATTCACTATACCAAGTTAATCATGATACCATTGCTAATCTTATTAACAAATAATTTCATTATATTACAGTAGTGCCTGTAAGCCCTACTCATGGACCAGGACCCTATTATATGAAGCATGTATAAATACAAAACAAAAAGGCAGTTCCTGTCTCAGAGAGCTTACAATTTAAGCATAAGACAAGAGAAAACTTGGATATAGACTAGTAGGAAGTATATGAAAATAAGAGAACAAACCTATTTGTTGTTTAAGTTTATCCTGTACAGACTAACTCGGCTACCCCCTGAAGCTACTTTGAATGTTCACCAGAGAATATGCAACTATCTAGGGACACCTAAGCCATCAGCAAGTGCACATGTAGAACATAGAACCATATCACCTGCTGTCTCAGAATCACAGGTTTCTACAATATGAACTAAAGAGGAATCTCTCTTGTCATAGTAAAGCTTATGTTTTCAGGCCAGTGTATAGAAAGCAATACAATTAAAATATCTGGTAAGGTCATTCCAGTACAGGATAATAAACCTAAACTAATATATTACATTCTGTTTACACAAAAAATGAAGTTTCTCAAAACCCACCATTCTTTCTTAAATGTATTTCTGACAGGCTTGTTTTGTCGGTGTTGCTGATCAGTGATTTGGCCTTGTGATAGGCATCTGGAACATTATGAGCGCGCGCCAATATACTGTTTAATTAGAACTCAAGAATTGCAGCCATGTGCTCATCTTTTAATTCTAAATTGTCACAAATCTTTTCATAGAAAATAGTCTAATAAAAATTTTAAAATAGTTACAAAAATTCTATATAATTTCTACAAGCTCATTTGACTATCAGTCATAATCCTCTTAAACACTACAAATATCTCTTATCGCAATTTTGTTCTTTCCTGTTTGTCCAATATTGACATTCTTCTGCCTCAACGTTTCTTACAGAGCACAAGAGCACAGTTCTGGTTTTATTTCCTTATTCTTGCATTGTCATCAATGGTGTATGCACAGGTCTGCGATACAATCACAGGACTGACCATAAAAGAACAGAAACTACACCTCAGCCCAGATTTGCAGAAATGATGGGTGTCTGTATTTGTATGTCCTCAATCTGACACTTCAGCTCAGGTTTCAAAAATGAGAAGCTTCTATAAATCATTGAGTTGGCCACCTAAACTCTCTACAGGTTGAACCTCTCTAGTCTGGCACCCTTGGAATCTCACTGGTGCTATACCAGAGAATTTGTCCAGCAGCATTGCCAACACTTCCACTGCTTACTCTCAGAAATCATTTGGGGTAAATTAGAGCTAAATAACAGCACAGAACACAGAGAGCCAGCACTGTTGGCTGTAAACAAACTTTATGGGATCATAGAAAACTTGGCCACAGCCATGATAAGCGGACATCCAGCAAACTGAAATCATGCTGGCTCATGGTAGTTGTCAGGCCAGAGAATGTCAAACTAGAGAGCTTCAACAGGTAATTGTTTTTTAAACTCTTGGTCCTAGCCTGTCTCCAATACAGTGACTAATGTTGGATTGTTTTAGAAAAAACATACAAATGCAAGACAGACATGGGAGAATTTTTTCATAACCTCTGCTGGTGATCAGTGTCTGGCTTGAGCCATGAGGGCTGACTGCCTTTCTAAGTCTATCTTAGCTGCTCAGAGTTGAAGCCATTTTGAGACAAATGTCCAATCTCTTAATTAAAAAAAAAAAAGTCAAAATTCCTTTTGTAAGAAGGTATAAAATAGGACCCTGAAGGCCATTTTTAAACATTTTACTTCTATTATATCTTCCCAAATTTTCTTCCTTTTCTTTCCTAGCACAGACAGCCCACCCCACATAATCCCACTATTGTTGAATGACATACCAATAATTTCCTATTATCAACTTCTATTCTACCATTACATTTTCTGCATTATTCTCCAGCCTAACATTAGTAATTACAGGCAGTTCTCAGACTTACAACAGGAACCAGTTGCGTAGTAAGTCAAAACATCATAACTTGGAACCGTAATCACTTCATTGTGGGATCAAGAGTCAAAGTGGAAACCAAAATTGTAAGTCGAATCAGGATGTCAATTCAGAAATGTCATGAGAATGTCGTACGGTCGAGGACTGCCTGTAATTTGAACTGTATTAGCTGCAACACCAATACAACAATATTATAGGGTAATTCAAAGGCAGCATAAACTTCTACTGAAAATACATGTGATTTTGAAAGATGATGGACTGATAGGCACAGGAGCTGAAGAGCATTGGCACCTACAGAATCTGCAGGGGCAGTGCAAGCTTCCCACACCTTTGTTCCAGTTTCTCTGAATCTTGATTTAGAGGGACTATCATTCAGGTTGAAAAGAGTTCTGTTTGCTCATCCGTTCATTTCTTAGCTTTGCAGCTAAAACTGCCAACAAGAGTGGCAATTACCATACCACCAGTGTGGCAATCTTTGTATACTAAAAAAAAAGATTGAACCGCAGATTCATTTCATATAATCTTCAACATGAAACTGTGGATTTTTAAAACATAGATATTTAGAATCTAGAGGATACCATTCTATGTTCAACCTTCAGATGTGGAACACTCCACCACCACCGATCAAACCACAAAAACAAGAATAATTATATTTAAAAAAGCATGCCGGAATCATATCCCTGCTCAAGTCATTTCTCATTAATGGCTGCTAAAGAATAGTCAGCAACATCTTTTAACAAGCAACTAAATTAAGCAAAACAACAGGGGAAAGGTGAAATATAAGCTCCTTTCAATAGAAACTGTGTTTCGTAAACTATGTAAATAAGAGGCTTGACCCTACAAAGTAAGGATGTTAAATATCAGTTAATTTACTAGTTGAGTAGTCGATGGAATTTCCATGCAGAGTCCGGGCTCAGCTGGTGACCCTGGGCTCCATGCAGCGCTGCTGCTTTGAAACGCCAAGGTGGCGTTTCAAAGAGGCAGTGTCGCACAGCTGATCCCGGGCTCAGCTGTGCAGCACTGCTGCTTTGAAGCATCTCCTCTTCCCTCCACCCCCTTTGCGGGGCGATTAGTCCTTAACATCCTTACTGCAGAGACCAAGATAGAATTTTGAAGCTGGCAAATGTGATGAAGCCTTAGATTTAGCAGTATTTCTTGAAGTCTACATTTTTAACTTTATGTTAACATTAAATTAGACCAATATAGTATATGAACACCCACTTCAAGATAAAGCTGATAAAGCCTCTTGAAATCTCTTAAAACGCATCTCCATATGTGGCCAATTTATTTATCGTATATAGCACATAATACAATGCTATTTTTATAGCCCAGGTGTAAGTTTATGATTTTGCAGTGACATTGCTCAGTAAATCGGAATGGCTGCTCAATGTGACATTTAAAAAACTCAATGATTAGTTAAAAAAAATGTGTATTTTAATCCCAACTCTTTCACATGACCATTTCCATCAACAATATATTTGTACAGGATGTCTGTTTTTTCTTTTTCTATAAAGAATGAATCATGCTGTCTCTATTGCATATCTGTACCAGTCTACAGAACAAAATCCCATTGCCTCTCTCAAATTTCACTCTTCCCTGTCAAAATATTACAAAAGCAGGGCCAGCCCTGCCCTAACCCAGTCAGTATGATAGCTTCAATCTTAAACCAATCACCACCAAAATGTTCCATAACCAATTTCATAATTAAAAAAAAAAGAATTTCATATTGTTATTTTCTCCATGTCATTTGTGAAATTTCTTCTTCTTCCGATTCTTCTTGCCTGCTGCAAAAGCTGCCTTTTCAGTCATTATCTCCTGGTACTTCCTTTTATTGTATCTGAACAACAACAAAAAAGCATTTTTATTTAATATGTCAAAAGCAACAAATAAAAGATTAGTGTAACCTACCAAAAAAAAAAAATCACACATGAAATAATATTTTGTCAGAGTAAGTTTTGTCTCATTTTTTGTTTCATGCTTCTTCAGTTTGTTAGGTGTACAATTAGTAAAAGAGAAGTGACAGTGGTAGTAGAGCTGATATGATATGCTAATATTCTGAATCCTTTTAAAAATACTTCTGGTAGAACTAATGCCAAACTTAGGGGAAAAAAGGCAGCTGCATCACACAACACAAATGAAACATTTTAGTTCCTCTGAGGAAAAAAAGCAGCAATTAAATCAAACGCAAATCTGAAAAAGACCCAAGCATTTTTGCATTAGCAACTTTTACCTATACTAATGGATTTTTACATCATGCACACAATTAGGCTTCTAACGTGTTTTATAGCTCGTTAAATGCCTGTTTGTCAACAATGACCATGCTCAGCAAGAACTGTGGTGCTAATACCACTAATGTTGTCAGCAGTTTATGTTAAATGTTATGTTATCCCCTCAGTGTGCTCTTGTTATTAACAATCAGTAAGGCTACAATCAAGTCACAGGTATTTTTTAATAAAATCACACAGATTACAAGCAGTAAATGAAAATTTACAGCCCAAGATCTGTCCGTGACTTGTAGTCTATACCCCTAATTCTTGAGTGCTCTGGGGGGGACCCCTGCTGCTGGGGGGAGCTTGTGAAAGCTGATAGGCCCCCCTACCTGGTTCCACGCAGCTCCCTGGAAGCAGCAATTTGTCCCTCAGTTCTTTATGTTGCCTCTGCCCCAAATACTAGCTCTACATCTCCAATTGGCCAGAAACTAGTCAGAGCGCGCTGCGGTGACAGTATCTGCAGGCATAGGCAGCATGCAGAGCCACCTGGCCGTGCCTTTGCCTAGGAAGGGAATTGTTGCCGATTCCGGGGAGCCCAAGAGGTAAGCGCAGGTCGCAGTTCTCACCCCCTCCTGCACCTCAACCACTTGCTCCAGCTCCTAACCTCCTCCAGCACCCAAACTCCTGCTGCTCGTGGGGAGAAGCGGTGCAGGCAGTGGGCTGAGACTGTCCAAACAGCTGCCACTGCTAACAGGCCCAGGGACTGCTGAAGGTGCTCAGATGGCCTCTGGACTAAGGATTTTAAATTGTGGTTACTTAGCTGATTGTATAGTCAATACAATTTGTATCAACTATACGATTACTCAATAGGACCACTCTGCAGAGCTGCAGTTGGGGTAGCTTCAGGAGCTGGCTCAAGCTGAGACTTAAGCAGTGCTGGCTCATGCTGGCTCTGGAAGCCACTCGTGCTGTCGCTCAGCATTTTAAATATAGTAAGAACTTCCAGGCTCTTACTACATTTAAAATGCAGAGGTGCAGCGTTCCAGACCAGCACAAGCTGGGACTGCTTGGTCCAGACTTCCACTGAGTGCAGCAACCTGTTTGCGGTGCAACAGGGACTGGTGCCGGAGCAGCTTCTGTTCCAGCATCAGCTCCTGTCAGCAGACGGAGGAGGGAAGGGAGGCAGGTGGCACCCCCAAAGATGGTGCTGGGGGGAGCTGGTTCCCCCCAGCACCAGCTCCTGTTCCTCACCCCCTTGCTGTCTCGCAGGGGTCGGGAAGGCAGAGGCTCAGCAGCAAAACAGCACCCCCACAGGACTCTTGCTACATTTCAAAGGCTGAAGTTCCACAGTGGGAACCGGCACACCATTTCCCTGCTGTGCCTCTGCCTCCCCTGCCTCCTGTGGAGACAGTGCTGGGGGGAACCAGCTTTTTGCTGATAGAGGCGGGGGGAACGACTAGTTGGGTCACTACTCAACTATCGGATAAGCTCATGCTTATCCGATAGTTGACTAGTCGCTTACATCTCTACTCCGGACCAGTCAGACCAGCTCCAGCACAAGTCACAGAGGTTCTGGAAAGTCACAGAATCCATGGCCTCTGCAACAGACTCACAGCCTTAATCAGTTTTATTCTACTGAAGATTTGAGAGAAGACTAAGATTAATAAGATTAAACAGAATGTACATAGTGAAGACAGGCTGACTATAGTTTTCTCAGGGCAGATTCTCCTGTTCCTGCATCATTTAGCAGTGTGAACAATATCAGCATTTTAAGTGCTTGCTAAGGCAGCTGTTTATCATCAGGATACTTGACAAACAGTTGTAATACCTAAGTGCTTTATTCAGTTAATTAGGTACAAAAATTAAAATTGTCAGGCTTCATGAGCAATTAATCTTTAAGCACTGTTTTTAATATTTTAATTAACTGGTAGCTATGAAATAGTACTGACTAAAGCTAATCATACTAGTAGGATATAGCTAGGAAGTTTCCATACACTATGCTGTCAATATGTTTAAAATCCTGACTTGCAATCAACTCCTGATATCCCAACCACAGTTCTCTTTGCATGTGCACACAAACAAAAAAAGTCATTTATATGAAATGATGAGAAATTGCAGCATATCATGTTAACAGATCCAAAATGGTTAAGGCTGCCAATCCGTGCCAAGAATTATCGTTACCAAATGTTCTATCAGTCTTTAAATACATTTCAAAGACAAATTTGATTATCACAAAGGTGCCCTATCGACCACCCTGTACAAAGAAATCCCATCTATATGCATGGCTATCTGACTGGCAACAGCAGAGCAGGTTCACTTCCATTTCCCCATCAACATGCCTAAATCCTATTCTGAAAAAAGTCACTTCCAGAAAAGAGGGGGTTGGCCAGGCCTAGTTCAATAGTTGGGCTCTGTGGCAAGACTGACACTTCTGTTGATTTCTGCACCTGTTATGGAACTAAACTAAGATCACTAACTCACCTCCTATAGTCCATTAGATAACGGACAACTTCTGTACAGTGCATATTGCTTCCAATATACTTCTCTTAATTGGTATTAATCAACACCTGCTATATACTGATCTCCAGAATAGAAGTGCTTCATGGAGGCACTAAGCTGAATCTAATGAAATTTTAAATACAAAAAGTAATTCAAGTTAACCGAAAGGAAAAGTTACTTTAATCAAAATTGTAATACATTCCTGACTCAGATTAATCATACTGATAATATTACAATTATAAAGACATTTATTTTACATACCTCCTAAACTCAGAATCTGCAAGCAGCTCTTCAACAATGGTTCTCTTTCTTTGTTTCTTGGGGATTCGAGCATGGTAAAAGTCTACCGGACTGTCAACCACAGTTCCAACCTGGGAAAAGAAAATTTAAAATGAACATTGCTGCAACATAATAAAAGCATTTTCTGTTTGCTTTTAAATGTCAAAACCCAGGTGTTTGAGGTGAAAAATTGGAGGAATCATGAAAAATTGTACTGTAAAGCATCAGACAAAACAAGCAGTGGTTTGTATACATAATCACCATTTTTCTTCTCATGTATAATCCAAAGAACAGCAACTAAAAACAGTGCAGCTCTGAACATAAGGATTGCTGCACCAGGCAGTACCTACCATGGTAAACACATCCTAGCTCTCTGAATTTACACGGGATTATATTTTTGTTTACCTGAGGGAGGGAAAGGACACCCGTATAAACTTCTGGGTAATTAAAATCTTTCACAGGTCTTGTCCTTTCCTTTAGCCCAGATGTAGGGAACCTTTTTTTAGGTCTGGGGCTGTTGACTCTCAGAAAAATCTGTTGGGGGCTGCACATAAGTGAGAAAAGTGAAAAGCAAAAACCCCCAAACAACCCTCACTAATGTAGCCTAACTAAGCAGCAGCAAAACAACACTACCCACATTCCCCTCACACACCAGAGTCTAAGAGGGCCCAGGCTAGTTGATTTTGTGTGCTCCAGCCCCATGGTGGGGGCAGTGAAGGGGCTCGAGTACCAGCACGGGCTCCCCAATGAAAGGGAGAGGGGGAGCCCCATGCATCAGGGGCCACATCCAGACCCTGGGCCTTAGGTTCCCCATTCCTACTTTAAGCTCCACAAAGTTTTTGCTCAACAATTACTGTTACTTTTTAACCCAGTACAAGATTTAGGGGCCCTACTGTGCAAAGGTCAGATCTTTCACAGAAGTTGGTTTGTATAACATGGAGATAAGGGAGGCCCATAAAGTATGTATCTCCTATAATGGTAAAATGTATACCTTGAGTTTAATTAAACAGACTGCATCTAATAGTTTTCAATTTCTCTCATACCACAAAATACAATAAGTTGCAGAGTTATCGTAGCAGGAATTTCAGTAATTCAGTGGAGTCAGACCACTGAAGAGAATTTTGACTAATAAGAAAACTAATTAATTATTATTATTATAACAGACTTGTAAAACAGACAGATATTAGGGATGTTAATGTGTACCTGTGCACATGGTTACATGCACCTCACCCCCCCAGCTGCTTCTCTATCAGAGGCAGCAGGGTGGGGGGGGGGGGAGGGGAAGAGGCAAGAGCTGGTACTCGCGGGGAGCCAGCTTAAAAGTCTCTAATACAGAGGCAGCAGTACAGAGGGCTGGACGGAGCGCAGGCGGGGAGCCAGCTTTCAAGCCAGCTCCCCACAAGTAGCAGCTCTCATGGAGCTGCCTGCCCCCTTTGCTACTGCCTCAGATATAGTGCGTGCAGAGGGGAGGCAATTTCAGTGGTTACACATTTTCAAAAATAACTGTATTTTAACTTCCTTAACTGATATACTAGAGAACACTAGCAAAATCTGACAGGTTAGATATAAATTCATTACCAAGAAAGGGATGTACTGCATTGATCCTATGAAATCAGTTACAAGTCGGAAAACAAAAAAGCAATACAAAACGTGTGTATGTAGAAATACACAGATAAGGTTAAACAGTGGTTGCATAAAATCCCACTTGTAAACGGTCATCAAGTTCAACTGTAAGTAAACAGAAATCAACAATTTCATGGTATGTACATCTAATTGTAAAAGTGAATTTGGACAGACATCTAAAAATAACTAGATAGGAAATAAGCCTAACTGTTCTGGACTAGAAAAGTGGTAAGAGGATTTCTTTATTTTTGTTGGTTCCTCACCTGAAAGTATTTGGGAAGCCCATCTCTATCATTCTTCTTGTAAAAATGTTTGGGGTCTATGGAAGCTCTCATCTTCAGCGCCTTCAGATCATTTTTTAATTCATTTGTCATTTCTGGAGCTTTCATACCAAACCAGCCATCACCTGTTGTTTTCTCTCGCTCTGCCTATGACATAATATAAAGAATAAAAATGCACCAAAGAACTTGTGGTGGAGACGAAGAAAAAAACAAAGGGTTGCTGCAATAAAAAGTTCATATTATTTAAGAGTGTTTTTCAGAAAACTCTACAGTCTGATTTTACAGAACAGCATTAACTAGCTTTAGCAACTGGTGCCTACCAAGGACCCGATCTCTATTTCTCAAATGTTCTGAAGAACGAAACATCTATGTAAGCAAAGATGTTTTTATAAAAAATACATGGAAACAAGATGACAAGGAAGCCCCAATCCAATTTACTTAATGCTGCAACTAGGACAAGGAGTCCTTTCTGGCTAGGCATGGGGATGAGAATTTAACCTTTCAGTCTCTCTCAACATTTCCACAAGGCCGAATCTCAAATTACTGTTCAATACCGATATGAATTTGCAGTTGCAAAAATGGCTATACAGGCATGCCACCTCTACGTTTTCATTTAACAGAGATTATAAACAGGTTTATTCTACTTAGGGATGTGAATGGTTAAGTCTTACCCTTAATGAGTGAGGATTACCCAGGGGGATCTGGCCCCCCAAGCGGGTGGATCCGGCCCATGGAGGCCCTGCTGCTCCCCCGCCCCCAGGCCAATTATGTCCTGGGAGCAGGGGAGCACACAAAGCCTCCTCCCACCCTGCCAGGAGAATGTGGTGATTTGAAGCACCACGCGGTGCTCGCAGGGCAGGGAGGTGGGGGGAGAGAGTGGAGGAGGCTTCACACACTCCCCTGCCCCCCAGGCCAATCAGGGCCTGGAGGCGGGGGAGCTGTGTGAAGCTTCCTTCACCCTGCCCAAGCTCTGCAAGGAGCCCGCAGCACTTCTAAGTGCCATGTGCTCCTCGCAGGATGGGAGGAGGCTTCCTGCGCTCCCTCGCCTCCAGGCTCTGATTGATCTGGGGGTGTGGGAGCATACCAAGCCTCTTCCAGAGCATGAGCGCCTAGTGGGAAGGGGGGCAAAGGGCTCCCCGACCCTTCCTGTTTAGGCCCTCCCCCTTCTGGGGTGGCGCCCAGGCAAAAATTATTGCCTACCCCTGGGCTTACCCATTCTGGTTAACGGGAGGGGGGCTGGAATAGCTCCCTGCCCACTGTGGGCAGGGGCTGCTACAGCTGTGCGGGGCCTGCCATGGGCGGCCGGGGTGGGGGGCGCTCCAGCCCAGCTGCAGCAGCCTCTGTTGGCAATGGGCCCAGCTCAGACACACTGCAGGCCGGAGCGTTCCAGCCTGGCCAGAGCACTCCAGCCTGGCCGGAGCAGCCCCTGTCAGCAGATGGGGCGGGAGGAGCTGCTTCTACCCTTTAATCAGGAAGGCGGGGGAGAGTCGCTTGCCCTTTTATCAGTTAACCAGTTAAACGCTACATTTAACTAGTTAAACGGGATTTTACATGCCTAATTCTGGTTTTTTAGTGCCAGTGGCACTACAGCCAGAGGCTATCCACTTACCTTGCGCTGTTTCTTTATCTGACGGATTGATTCCTTGAATGGTGGCACACACTCCTTTTTTTCAAAATCGGGAGTTATTATACTCTTCTGCAAGAGCTAAAAGATATCATTAAGATATTGTTTAAATAATGCTACAGATTCATATTATTTAAGAGTGTTTTTCAGAAAACTCTACAGTCTGATTTTACAGAACAGCATTAACTAGCTTTAGCAACTAGTGCCTACCAAGGACCCGATTTCTATTTCTCAAATGTTCTGAAGAACGAAACATCTATGTAAGCAAAGATGTTTTTATAAAAAATACATGAAAACAAGATGACAAGGAAGCCCCAAACCAATTTACTTAATGCTGTAACTAGGACAAGGAGTCCTTTCTGGCTAGGCATGGGGATGAGAATTTAACCTTTCATTCTCTCTCAACATTTCCACAAGGCCAAATCTCAAATTACTGTTCAATACCGATATGAATTTGCAGTTGCAAAAATGGCTATACAGGCATGCCACCTCTACGTTTTCATTTAACAGAGATTATAAACAGGTTTATTCTACTTAGGGATGTGAATGGTTAACTGTTAAGTCTTACCCTTAATGAGTGAGGATTACCCAGGGGTGATCAGATCTGAATTCTATTACACATGTGGTTACATAAATAATATAGCACAGAAATTATGGGGAATCATAAATAAGCATCAACTAAAAATTTTTTTTAAAGATGTTGCTAAATGAGACAAGCTTCCCTGCCCCATGATGGGGAAAGCAGAGGCTCTTAATACCAAGGAGAGGGCAGAAGGCTGGCTAGCTATAAAGTAAAGTAGAGTGGCATTGGAAGAAGCAAACCAGCAGGCAGAGTAAATGAGGAAACTGGGGATGGCATTACCTAAGAAAATAACTTTCCTGGAAAGCAATGCATACCAGTCATTCACTGGCAATCAGCCTAGAATCCCATCTCATACAGCTATGGAGGGGTCAAATGTCCATTCAACTCAACAGTTCTCATATTAAGTATAGTAAGCAGACCTAATTTTGCGGGTTTTGCACCAAGTTTTAGTTCCTGCTTAGGGTGTAACTATCTGAAGTCACAATATCATCCTCAATCTAAGTCACAACTAAGTGCACGAGAATTATTATCTAGGACTGCAATGATGCAGTTAGGGTTGCCAGGTATCCGGTTTTGAACCGGACAGTCTAGTATTAAATGAGAAAATATAAATGTCCAGTATTTTCTAAATAATATGTAATGTAGATTGTGATGTAATGTCAAGTGTGTCCAGTATTTTTGTTGAAACCATCTGGCAACTCTAGATGTAGTTTGGCAGAAACTCAAGTCATGAAATATAATCCGTAGATAAATTCCTGCCACATTTTAGCATACTGGACTTCTTCCTATTCTGTAGGAAAATTCCCTGTATTTACAATGTACTGTGAGTTCTATACTCAGTGGGTGGGTTCTACCATAAAAACAAATATAAATAAATGCTTTGGCCATAAAGAACTTATCTTCCCTCCAAACTCAACTAGCAAGACTTTTCTTTTTAAATATGTCACAATTGGACTAATTTTAATATCTTTGAATTCCAGACACATTTGTAAAATTATAACTTTAACTTAATATTACCTCTTCTTTCTTTTCCTTCTTTAACTGTTTAACTACACTTGGGCCAGCTTTTTGTTGTCCTGCATCAAAGCTAATATATAAGCCTCCAAGCCTCTTGATGTTCAGACCAGGATCTATGCTGCTTGACAGATGTAAACTGAAAGAGAAATGGCTAGTTAACCAATATGTAATATTAACAAGTTTTTTGCAATCTTCTGCTGTGCCCTCTGAAGAAAGGCAGGATAGAGAAAAATGTCTTTTATCCTCCTTCTCTGTGCACCTGGTGCATATATGATAGCTGTCCTATGGAGTTTCTAGATTACAGTGCTCAATGGGGTTTAACAACTAAAAAGGGAAGAAAGGAAATACAGACAATATAGCAAATCATTCTGTACTTCCAATTGCCATAACATAGACCATTTTAATCAAAGTTTGTTGGAGAGAACTATAGGGGAATCGCTTCCACAACTACAGGGGAATCGCTTCCACAAAGCCTCCCTGAGCTGTTTGACTAGCTAATGAAAGACTAGATAGATTATCAATGTTATCAGAATATTCCTTGTCAATGAGTTTTGACTTTCAAAATGAAAAATGCAAGCTTGCTGTCTATCTTTTATACATTTTGTAATTTGTTAATAAGGAATCCATATAGAAAGGCAAGCAGCAACAAGAACAAGCAAGATTATAACAAGTTGGAAATACAAACATATTGGATGCTTGAACACTAGTATCTGTATACTTGTTATCATTAGACATACACTGGGACGTGTAATGTCCTTGCCTGTATTCCTAACAATACTTTCCATTATTAGAAACTACATTTTGAAAGTGTATCACATTGCAGCATTTGTTCCAGTACTGCAATTCCCCAGATTAACTAATTCGTGAAGTATATTTGATGGTCAATTTGAAATGTGTGTTTGCTGTTGACAAGATGTATTGAAAACCATCAAATGTTAAGAAAACAACGATCAGTGCATGCACTTAACACAACAAACCCAGACTAGTCAGTTTCACCCCACCCTAGTTTGAATTGCAAACAACGCAGGAGGATGTGGAAAACCAAGTAAACATTTTTACTTAAATTCCAAAATATTCAAGTGTCTACTGTTGGATTTTGTAAATTTTTGGATGCTTAAATAAACAAAATACCCTAAATTTGGTCAGGTAGCTTAAAAAGTCTCTTGTGGTATTGATTAATATCAAACTCAGTGACAGTTAAATCTCTCCACTTGAGGCAAGTGTAAAACTAGGCTACTTATGCTTACTTTTGGGAATAGATTTGAGATCTATAAATGAAAACACTGTCTATGCAAAACAGGTTTTTAATATGTGGTAATCAAGGAAAAGAGAGGCTTAACAACTTGACCAGGGCACACTATGACAAATTAGTTAGGCTTTGCTAAAGAACAACCTGAGTTCTAGGCTCAGGTCTGGTGCTTAATGTACTTTATTTTAAAGCAATTTTTACAAATGCTTGGAGCGATAAAAGGCTGTGATCTATATGCATATGGACACAGCTTAGCAACATAGGGAACTATTTCATCAAATGTACAGTGAAAAAGGCAGGTTCACAAATATCCAGTATATGTTTGGACAGCATCATACATTCCTGTTAATCTTTTATCTAAATTTAAAAAAATCTTTGAAGTCCATTTACCTACCCCAAAAGAAAAAACAAGGAATGATGTTTGTTTTTTCAACTGCCCAGTTTTTTACACCTCATTTAAAAAAATAATTAAGATTACATGAGTGTTTTCAGTACTCAGTATACTGCACTCCATATCAAAAGTTCTGTAATTCATAGGCAAGCTGAAACAACTATAAATTGTTATGAAATTCAGCCAACAAAAATATGTAATAACAGAAAGCGTGTGAGAAGAGCCACTCCTGTGGCAAGGAAAGGTACCACTAAAGCTGGGAGGATAGTGATAACCAAAAAAAAATCAAACACTCCCATCCCCACAAAAAACAGGGCACCTGCTGGATGGGGAAAACACTGTTAAAGGTTTCTTAAAGGACAGTCACGCTAGTGCAGTGGTCTCCAACCTTTTTACACCCAAGATCACTTTTTAAATCTCCGAACAGGCGAAGATCTACCGCCCCGCCCCTTCCTTGAAGTCCTGCCTCTTTCTTAAAGTCCCGCCACTCTCTATTCTCCTCTTGTCCATCACTTGCTATCCCCAGCCCTTATCTACACACTCTGATAAACAGTTTATTTTTAAATTATGTGATGTATACAATTAAAATCACAGGTTTATAGTTATGAAATAAATTATCTGTTTTTTATTCATGCTATTTAAATCTAAAATGAAGCATCTATAATTATACATTTTGTGGGGACAGAAAGGGGGCTGGGGGGGCAGGGAACAGGGTTCTGCAGCAGGGGACAGAGTGCAAGTGGGGACAGGAATGGGGACAGAATTCTGTGGCTGGGGACAGGAGAGCGGGGACAGTGTTCGGAGAGTGGGGACAGTGTTCGGAGAGAGGGGAAGGGAGAGGAGTGGAGGGGAGGGGAGAGGAGTGGGGAAATGAGGGCTGGGGAATTGGGTGCCAGTGGGGCAGAGTCCCCTGCATCTGCCTCCTCCCAGGATTTCCCCCCCGAGGGAAACCCCGCGTGCGCCTGCCCCGGGGCCGACCCTCTCGCGGCGCAGGGAAATCCCCGCGCGTGCATGCCTGCCCCAGGGCCGACTCCTCCCCCCCCCCGCAGGGAAGCCCCCCCACGCGTGCACACCTGCCATGGGGCCAACCCCCCCGGCGCAGGAAAACCCTGTGCGCACCTGCCCCGGGGCCTGACCCCCCCCCCCGGTGCAGGAAAACCCCGCGCGCACCTGCCCCGGGGCTAACCCCCCCCACCGCGTGCGTCTCCCCCGGGGCTAACTCACCCCTCCCGCAGCACACCCGGCAGAGCAGCTAGCGCTACTTCCGGAATCGCCGGATGTGGCGCTAAGCTGCGGGACTTCTGTCCATCCCCAGGAAACCGACACTAGCTCCATTTTCACTTGAGGTAGGTAGTGGGGCTTCTCGGGGGTAGGAAAGAAATGGGGGCGGGGCGGACGCCTCGTGATCAACCGGTCGAGGCCTCGCAATTGACCTGTTGGTGACCATGGCACTAGTGGAACCTATGCAGGTCACAGAGCAGCATCTGGATATATGCATAACAGAACAATTGGTTGAATTGCGGAGCTATAATTCCACTTTGGAGTTCAAGGAACTCCAGTTTCACACATTGATTATATCATCACAAGAACTCCCTCATTATTTTACATCACTGGATACTAACAATATGCCTGTTAGAATTATATGTGGCTGCTTAAATTATCTGTAATTCAAACACTTACATGTTAGGCTTTTTATTTTTCAATAAACTTGCATCCTCATCTTCATCTATGAACTCCTCCTCATTATCTTCCAGCTCTGAAGACTCCTCATCTCTTTCACTTTCTGCATCCTTACTTTCTGCATCCCCCCTTGTGTCTTCCTGTTCTAGGTAATACTTTTTGTTACCACCCAAACCAGGTTCTGTGTCTATTACAAACAGGCCTCCATACGATGAATCATTTTCTAAAGACTTGTTTGCAGATGACTTCTGATTTCTAGTTTCTCCACAAACCAGATTCTCTCCTACATCACCCACTTCTTCTACATCACTGTTTTCACTTTCATCACTCTCATCGCTGCTCAGGAGCAACATGGCACATTCCTTTTTATTACATGATATTTTGGTTACATGTGGAGAGGATTCAGTAACTAGTTCTGCTTGACCTTCACCATTGTCTTCATTGACATCAGACATTTTGTAGTCACTGACACTGTCATCACCAACTGGTAAGAGGTGTATGACCTTTTGTGGACTGTTTGTTGTGGTAGCTGGCTTGTCAGCTACCATTAATTCATTCGCTTGGGTGAAAGAACTCTGCATAACCTCCTCAATATCTGTTTTTTGATGTTCTGGAATTATTTTGCTTTCATTTGGGGTTGCCTGCCTTTGGGACTTAACGGAGTCATCAGGGTTCTCATGGTCAGAAAGAAAAAGGGACACAATTTTCAACTGTGATTCTTTTCCGGTTATGTCACTCTCCTTTTCTAACATTTCCTCTGAGTTATCTATAATTTCAGAGTGTGTCTCTTTTATTGTTTCTTTTTTAGGAGATTCTAGGATACAACTTTTTCCTGGTTTTTTAGGACTGTTGGGTATTGTATCAATTAAAATTGGTTTAGGATCATCGCTTGGGTTTGTATTAGTACATTCAGGCTGGCATTCGGACTTGCAAGGGCTGAATTGTTTATTATTGTGAGTGAGGTGTCTACTGGATGAAATAGAGGAAGCTTGTTCTGTATCAGAATCAGATTTTGTAGCATGTTCAGTGTCAGATATGGTTACTGTCTGGGATTTAATTCTGTCCTCAGTTGGTTTCTCATCTTCCAGCACAACTTCACTATCTTTTTTCTCAGTTTGTCTAATGGTTTCTGCTTGCAGTTTCAGCATACTCCTAGTTATTCTTTTGGTAGTTACCGCTGGCTCCGCAGAAAGACCAGAGCACCATGACTCTGCATCAGAAACTTCTTCTGCTTGAACTTCACAAACTGGATCTGGGTGGAGTTTAGCTTGGCTTTTCCTGCTTCTTGTAGTTCTTGTAGCACCAGTTGTACAGACTCCAGATACAGCTGAAGAACATGACTCAGCTTCAGAGACATCTTCATCTTGAGATTTACTTAATTCACTTGGAAGAGTTGTCTTATTAGACCTATTTTTGGCTGGAGATTCTTGCTGATAAGGAATTGTGATTTGTCTTCTCCTTGTTATCCTTATGAATAAAGGTGTCTGATGTTCAGATATAGAGTAATTTGATTCTGCTTCATCTCCATCAGCTTGTGGTTCAGCAACTGATTCTGCTGAATACGTATTTTTGTTTATATTCTTATCTGTTTGTGCCTCAGAGGCATCACCAAGCTCTGATTTTGTTTCAACATCTTCCAACTCCTCATCCTGAGATTCATGAATGACTTCTGGCTGAGAGTTTCCTTTAGTTCTTCTCCTGGACATCTTCACAGAAACAGGAGTACTAACTTCAGCAGATGACAGCTACAGAAAGAAAAAAATAAGATTAGTAAGCAAGACATTTCCAAAGAAAAATACACTTTTAAAAGAAAGTCATAAATAATTCTGAGCTCAAATTCACAAGCATTTGACTTTTTAAATAACTGCCTACAGAAAGTTAACCTGATGACATATATTTTGCGATTCTTAGTACCACAACCTGCAGGTAACAAAGCAGCATTATTCAGCACTCATTTGCCCACCTATGCCTTTTTTAGAATTAGCATCAGACTTTGCCCATATTGCTTCCTCCTGGCAGAATCCTACTTCCTCAGATTTGTGCTGTTGGAGACCTCAAACTTATGCTTTAAATCCAGCAACTGATTTTCCTGGTTTTTTTCTGCTTTATACCTCTACGCCATCTTTTATTATGTCTGCCAAAGTAAAGTGTGACTTATTCATGTAACTAGAATGAGAATGTCCTTAGTTCCAGAAATCTCCCTCTGTCAGAATAACTCCATGGACTGTCCTCTAGAACCACAAAGGTGCTCCTAATAGTGATTTATATATCAGATCCCACATCAAGGGAAGTTCTATCAGACCCAAGAATCAAGCTATCTTTTGGTAAGCACAAAACACACCCAAAAATACATACATTAAACCAAATGTCCTGAATCTATTTCAATCTGGGCTTGGCAGGCTCTCAGAAGAAACAGATTCCAAAGATGGAATTCCTAAACTCAGACAGCCATCCCTAGCCAGAAACTGTTAAGCATAGGAACTGATAGCAAGAGCATCACAGTAAATTGCCCCATTATTATGGTAGAGCCTTTCAGAGAGCTTCCCCCAAGACCATTCATAGATACAAAGATTGCCAACCCTTTGAACTGGTACTGGTAAATTACAAGAAGTCAGTACAAAGAGCTGGATACAAATGTTATATATTCATTGAAGCTCTTTCCACAGGATGCAAATGCAGTCTGCAATACCAGGAGCCTTAATATGCTATGCTAAGACTATACTATCAGAGTATTCCTAAACCTTCCTAACTTAGTGGTATCTATGGAATAATGCTTGGGCAGTCTAGAGGTATGGATGACTGTTGCAAAGTCTGTATTGCATAGAAATACTCAAAACCTCCTGACTAGCACTGGATGATGAAAGGCACCATAAGTCACTGCTGCAATCTAAAAATGCATGGTGAGCCCAACAAAATCCCACCCTGTCCACTGTGATTCCTATTTGTCAATATGCTACCCATTTTATTCTGAACACCTTTGTCACACACACTGCCCCCCCAACACTCCCCCCCCCGTCAGTCTAAAAGACAAAGAATGAGAAAGCCATTCTAGAAAACATAGAAATGCGACCAATTATTAAAATCCTCCTCGGGTCTCAAGGCCTTTGAACGGTCTCCTAGCACAATCTGGAGCTACAACTGACACACACTATTGCACTTCCAAGCCTATGGCGTCAGGCAGGCGGAGCGGGGCAGCCTCACACGCGAGCACCCGCCA